TATTCAAATACAAGATTTGATTCTTTTTCAACCAATAAACTTTTGATCAATGAACCAAAATTTTGTCCTAACCACTTAGATACTTGTTTTTAATCACTTTAATTTGTTTTAAAATAAAGTGCTTCTAAATTGTGATTACTTTAGGCTCACTTAATTATTTTCAAATTGAAGTTCTTGGATATGTTTTAAGACCGGTTGAGGACATATTTGTATTAGACACAATGTCTGGATGGAGTAGATTGTCACTGTTAATGTAGTATGCTTTTTATGTCAGATAGTTTGGCATGTACACTGAATATGAGACTCTTGCTTGATCACTTAGTGCAACAGATAGGACAGACTGTGCATGAAGCCGGTTCCCGAGAAAATATGATCCATAAGCGTGATATCATAGTATGGCTATATCCTCGACATCGACATCCCGATGTGAGGCTTTCCTTGGCTACTGTTACTATAGCATCGACGAGACGATGCACATTCTTTGAGTAGACATATTCCAGACCATGATTATCTTTCATAGTTTTACGGAAACTATTCCACAGTAACACTGTGGTTAGTGCACAACATTTCATCATAGTCACTTTAACAAGTTGGCAAATACAGGGTTTTAATAAGGGGGAATTAGAGGGGGGATACACTGTATATAAGTGGTTTAATGCCCATACATGCTATACTGAGTTATATACACATTATGAAGGGCCAAGGGCTAACACCTGTCATGAAGACATGTTCCCGGGATATGTTATGGGAAAACTGACTTATATACATAGAAATATCCACCTCTAGCTCAAATAAGACAAATAAAAGATAATAACACTTTTGTTTATTGCTGGATAGTCTAGACTTGTAGTTGTTTGTACAATTGACTTTTCTGAACTGACATGTACTCTTATGATATTCATCTTCAGAGTGTTGTTATTTGAAATGTATAAATGTAGTGTTTCCTTTACATGTTGTACCTTTTGCTTATAAATGCAGTTCAATTTGAATATCTTACTCTTACTTCTTGTCTCACACCTTGAAGCTAGTATCTATTTTATACATACTTCTTTGTCTTCTAAATTTCCCACTACGACATCATCCCGTCTATTCTGATGCTAATTAGTGTATCTTGAACTATTTCTACTTTTTACTATTAGTTCATGCATATTGTTCGCATACATTTTCTTATTCTATATATTTTCTTTGGAACACTTGTCGGATTGCTCTAACAATCGTGGAATTTGTCCTCCAGCTTTTAGGTGGTGGAATGTTACATGAATGGACCAGGTTATGTAGATGGACCAATTGGGGATGCAGCTAAAAGATAAAATCCAGATACTTGATATTTGGTGCAGTTTGTATCAGTTGAGTTGGTGTTGCTAGTGAGAAATATGTACTTTAGGATTTCTGTATATTTTATTGAAGAGAGTTCATTATTTGATGTATAGATATTGCATCTGGGTTTCGGGTTTCAATAACTACAGTGGATTGGTTGGACATTTAAGAGAGTTATTGGTGCTGAATATTTTTTTGGCTTTATTTAAATGTAAAGATATTTTAGAAATTCCTGTTTTCTATTACGAATGATAATTCTTAAAGATTATATTTTTCTACTGGTCTAGAGGTGTTACTGTAGATATGAGAGAGGGGTTCACTCTCTATAGTTACACTGCCGGCCGAGTCACCTGTCCTTCATGTGCATTTTTGGGACCGGCGCGTGACAAAACATGTATCTAGTTTATATATCGATGTGATTAAAGATATGTATGATAAAGTAATAACTAGAGTACGAACTAATAAATGAGAGACTAGAGTACGAACTAATAAATGAGAGACTAAGTCATTTCCTATTACCATAGGTTTTACACCAAGGGTCCACCTTAAGCCCTTACCTTTTTGCATTAGTTATGGACCAATTTACTAAGCACCCTCAGGATGAAATCTCATGATGTATGTTATTTGCAGATGATATAGTATTAGTTGACGAAACTAGAAGAGGAATAATTTCTAAAGTAGAAAGATAGAGACAAGCTCTTGAATCTAAAGGTTCTAGAATTAGTAGAACAAAAACAGAATATATAGAGTGCATTTTTAGTAAAACTAAGAAAAAAAGAGCCTATAATGCATATTGATAGTTAAGAAATACCTAAAAGTATTCATTTTCACTATTTAGAATCAATCATTAGGCATGATAGTGAGATAGATGACGATGTTGTACATCAAATTAAAACGGGATGGTTGAAATAGAGGAGTACCTCGGGAGTCTTATGTGATCATAAAATACCAATAAAACTAAAGGAAAAATTCTATAGGACGGTTATAAGACTAACTATGCATTATGGGTCCAAGTGCTGGGCAATTAAAAACATGTGCAAAAATGAGTGTAGTAGAAATGAAAATGTTGCGATGATCTTGTGGATATACATTAAAAGATTAGATAGGAAATGAGTGCATCCATAGTACATTGAGGTTGCTCCTTTTGAGGATAAAATGAGAAAAAATAGATTATGATGGTTTGGTTATGTACAATGAAGACCTCTTAGTGCACTGGTTAGAAAAAGTGATAATATTATAGTTAATGGGCTAGGAGATCTATAGGTAGACCTAAAAAGACTTGATTGGAAGTAGTTAGGATGGATATGATTATGACTAACTTAACGAATGAGATAACCCATAACAGAATAGGATAGAAAAATAGGTTTCAAGTAGTCGACCATAAACATTTGAGATAAATGCTTTGTTGTTGTTGTATGTACTGTAACTTTGATTTAACTTGATGATTTGTTCTCCAATAGAGACTTGAGAAACCAATTCATCCTATGACAATATCAACAATAATAAAGCTTTTATCCTAAATTTTTGGGGTCGGCTATATGAATCCCTATGTTACCTGGGTACTGCTATCATGAAGGCATACCCGTACCCAATGTTTTAAATGTCGGATGTCGGGTTCATGTCGGTTGGCCAAAATTCATGTCGGATAGCGGAAATCGGGGATATATCGGGGACATGAAAAAAATATCGGATTGCCATATCGGATAGGTTGATATAATATCATAAATAGAATCTTCACATACATGATAATTATATTGTCTAAACATATAAAAAAGTACATAACTTATTGATGTTAAGATCACTAACCAATTGTAGACACCTGATTTCCGAGTCGGGTTTTTCAAACTTGACCCAATAAGCTTAAAACCGCTTTTTCTGAAATTTGGCCGATATTTCTTGGCCGCAATGGCGCCCGACATACCCGATATTTTCCGACATGTCCCCGACATGACCTCAGAAACGCAATACGCATTGAAATGAAGGATATCGTGGCGGATAGGGTATAAATCCGCCATATCGGCCGCCATGTCCAAATACGTGTCAGTATTTAAAACACTGCCCGTACCAAAATACGTATCAGTACCCAAAATTCATGGCAGCCGATATTTAAAACACTGTCCGTACCAAATACGTATCAGTACCCAAATTTCATGGACACTCTGGATATACGCATACATTTATTTAGACATGTACCAACTATTTGATATATGTTTTAATTTAAAAGTATTGTCATAAACTTCTTGGACGCATATGCGATAATTCACATCCACTTCTTGGAACTCGTTAGACATGGGTCGAGTTCATTTCAGCACATACCCAAGTTCAAAACTATGATTTGAAAGGGTCATTTGAGTGTCTAATTCAAAAATGAGTAGTTCCCAACTTATAATAATCAACATAATAAAAGAAACTTAAAAGTGTGATTGGAACTTAATTCTAATAACACATGAATTAAAAAACACTAATGATCTCATGTAAATTATTAATTTCAATTTCAATAGATATATATACACACATATATAATAAAAGAAACTTAAAAGTGTGATTGGAATTTAGTTCTAATAACACATGATTTAAAAAACACTAATGATCTCATGTAAATTATTAATTTTAATATATATATATATATATATATATATATATATACACTGTATAGTTGTACCCTACATTTTACAAGTTTGTCATGTCCCATACTGATACCTACACCCATGTTGTTACCCGTTTCAATGCCATTTCGATGAATCCTATTATAACATTTCCATCTTTTTCTATTAAGGGTCATGTCCTCCGTTAAGTTAACAATAATCATATCTTTCTCAATTGTTTCTAACCAAGTCCTCTTGTCTTCTTTGCCTTGTTAACTATACTCTAATGATTTCTTCTGATTGGTGCATTTAATGACCACCCTTGTACATGACCAAACCATCTCCTCCATCCATTCTCTTTGTACATCCTCCATATGAGCAACAACTGAACTCCTGCAAACACACTCATTCCTTATCCTATTACTTAACATTACATCTACAAGACCTGTGCAAGGTTCTCATTTATGCTATCCCCACTTTTTTCCCTTTTTTTTAATTGCTGTCCAACCTTTTGATCCATAACACATCGTTGGTCTTCTATGATTTTCTTCTTTCGATCTCAAGAGGTATTTCACTCTTAGATATTTTTGAGCATCAACATGTATGATACTCTCATCTCTTTACGATTTACTGAATTACATTTCATGTTTTAACATAGTCGTGATTAACATATCCTAGTAGGTCATGAAACATTCAAAACTTTAGTTCAAACAGACAAGCACTGATAACGAAAATTGGATAATAATATTTAGTAAACAACACCTTATAACATAAGGTACTAACCGATACATACACAATTTAAGAAAAATGAAGAAACTACAGAAAGGACGTAAAAGTCAATACCTTTTTACTACTCACTAAGGACATAAAAGTCAATACCTTTTTACTACTCGCTATAACAAACATTCTAACTGGTTGGCTTATAACTTTGCGTTTGAGAGAGATCTGAGCTAGAATTAGACAACAAGTAAAATCACATCAAAGAATCAATCTTTTCAATCAATTCAGAATTCCAAGGACCATAATTAGCGAGATCACAGCAATCACAACAAATGATCACTAAAATTTAGTCTAGAGTTGGAGTTTTAGACTAATTACAGCGGTCTTGACGAGCTCGTCAGCATACGATCCAGCCCTAATAGGCATCGCCACGCGTCTCGCCGGCAACGAACGGATCTTTAGAGACGCCATTGATTTCTCTCTCTAGGGACTTTCTCCCTCCACGAGCAGGCGAAGGGGCAGAGAGAGAGAGAGGGAGAGAGAATTAACAGGAGGTGGTTTCGGCAATTCTCTCGTCAACTCCGTCTGAGAAGATTCCAAGGTCAACGTGGCTGTTTTGGAAAGAACAATTTTTCAAAACAGCCTCATTTAGATTTTTATTTTTCAAAATCAACTGTTTTTTCTTTTATTTATCAAAACCGACCCGATTTTGTGATTAACAGTCTAATTACTATCCTAAATAGTCGGGGTTGCCAACCCCGACTATTTAGGACATTAATTTTTAGGGTTTAAAGTCTTTAATTAGGGTTTAACACTATCCTAAATAGTCGGGGTTGGCAACCCCGACTATTTAGGATAGTAATTAGCCTGCTAATCACAAAATCGGGTCGGTTATGATAAATAAAAGAAAAATCGGTCGATTTTGAAAAATAAAAAACTAAATGGGTCTGTTTTGAAAAATTGTTCGTTTTGGAAATGGTTGTGGAATGACATTTTTACCCTGCCTATTTAACTATGCAACTTTTTTTTTTGTTTTTTGCCCTTTTTATGAGAGGGAGTGATATTATAGCCTCTTAAATCTTAGAAATGCCATAGAAGTCCCTCAAATCCTACAAAGTTCTTATACCTTAAAAATTTCATATATGATCCCTCAAGTCCTATAAAGTCTTGCAAAATAATCTTTATGTTAGTTTTTTAGTTTAGAATCTAACCATGGCCGAGTTAACTCCTAAGTTTTTCAATCCTTGAATTAGAATGAAAGAGGTAAAAGTCACTTCTCTAATGTTTTAAACATTAGGGAAGAAAGATGATAGATATGTTATAGAAGAAATTTAGGAGCATTATATAGATTTAGAGGATTAAGACTATTCTAAAGCTTAGCATTGGGTTAGGGTTCTTGTTGAACATTTGGAGAAGAAGAACTCAAGTGAACTTTGGTTTTTAAAAAGTGGGTATTTAGTTTTAAACCTGTTAAGAAACGAGTTTGGATAATATAATTGAGGGGTGAAATGGTCGATTTTTCCTCCAATTTTGGGTAATATAATTGAGGGGTGAAATGGTTGGATTTGAGGGAATATAACCCTCAAATTTGACGTAAGTAAACCAGAGGGCCATATCGCAAGGCATTCGAGGAAGCAATATGCTCTTTCCAAGATTTAAGGGATTAATATAAAATTATTGAAGATATAAGGGACTAATATCTAAAAACCATTTTTAAATATATCTCCTTATCTTCTACATTTAGAAGAACCTCTTTTCAAGTCGTTTAAGTTGCCTTAAGTCTCAAAAACAAGTGTTATTAAATAATAGTAGGTTTGCCAGAAAATATCTGTAAATATGGTTAAGGATATGATTATATAGTGAAATATCTTGATCCATATCTAAAATATTTGAATATATGTTGACTATACGTTGCTTTTTCTATTTATAGTTAGTTGCAATTGTTTTAATCATTGTGTTATGGTAATTCACCATCTAAAGACAAAAATATCGAGAAGCTATGTCTTCATAGGCCCAAAAGAACTATGGCCCAAACCAGCTTAGCGGCCCAAAGCCCAACCAAGAACAAATCTATCGACCAGCAGAGCAAACGAGTCATCTTTACAGACACGAAGTGCGGGATCAGTCGTCCCCTCATAATCGAGATGACTCCTCAAGTGTCCACCTGCCCCATGGTCGAGACGACTCCTCAAACAGTCGGCTCGACTATCTACTCGGCAGTCTACACGGCCATAAGCTCGTTCGACTGTCTGGTCGGCAAATCATAGGGACGATTCAAAAACTGACCCGTCTCTACTGAGGGGATAATATCCAACTAAGCTCTCTTCAGATATATATCAATCGACACTACAGTATTGATCGGTCCTATCAAGATCTCAACTCTGACAAATCTAGTGTGTAAACAGCTTACTCTGCTCACAAGTCACTTCCTAGAGATTACTAAGATATTCTCTCATGTGCTCGAATGACTTCCCTCCTAGTCGCTAGCCAACATCTGTAAAGCGAATGATGACTAAGCAGCCGGCCTATCTTCTGTCATGCCTCGTCTGTCAAATCCGGGATCTTATGGAGATGGTCTCTCCTATGCTCGAATGACTTTAGTTCCCGTCACCAGCCGACATCTGTAAAGCGGAGGATGACTCAGCAGTATGTCTGTTCACCCCACAACCGCCCTCCTGTGCATAGTCAGAACCAAGGGTCAGCATCTCAGAGGCGATGGACTATAAAAGGAGGGAAGGAAGGTAAAAAGGGGAGGTTCTTCTTCTTCTTCTTCATTAAACTCTGGGGATCATTTCTCCCTCTTGATCTACTTTTACTAAAAAGAGAGCTAATAACTCTAAAAGAGTACCCCCTTACAAGGACCTCAATGGTCCCGGGACTCTCCCTCAAACCCTACTCAAGCTCATCAGCTGACTTGACCGTCGGAGGTACCACAGTGGAAACAAGCCCCGCCCTCTTACGGGTTCGTTCTTCTTGTTTGTGCAGAAAAATCAGGAATTCCAGTCTAAGGATCAGGCATAAAGTCGGAGGAGGAGTCGGCCCCACCTTCCATCCTCTCCATCTTCGTCGTTAGCGCGAAGATCTGAACTGCCTCATCGACTGTGTGATCACGGACATCAACACATTGGATTAATGAATTTGAGATTTGATTTTTATGATCAAAAGGTACAATCTTAGATTTTCATATATAAGAAATATTTTAATGAGCTTGCTTGAATCATACGAACTATATATATTTTATATTATTTAGATTTCTCATATTTGTTTTGTAGTCCCATGCATATCTGCACACATATACGCATGTATATTCGTATCCATAATTGGTAACTAGATACAAATATAATAAGTATCATATCCAAGCTGTATCCTACCCGTTAACACCCTAGATGAAAGGCTCTAAACAAGAGATGTAATCATGTAAACATAGAATGATAATGTTTATTGTAAAAAAAAAAGTTTAAATTTGAGAGAGTGTCTTGCAAAATCAATGTACAGATGCTATGTGCCAAAATAATTATAATAATAGTAATAGTAGTAATAATAATAATAAAGAGATAGTTATGTGCAAAATCTTGTTTGATGATATTCTAAAGAGGGACTTTTGTCTCTTCCATTCTATCCAGACACACTGTAATTTCATGGTGTCAATTATGGAACAATTTTACTTGCACCAAAGCGAATATTTGATCTGATTTAGACATTAGGTAAACGGGGGAAATGGTGTGATGCACCGCATACAGTTTGTCCGTTATAAATAGGCCAAATAGCGCTTATATTCCCTATTGTTTCATCTATTTCTCACTTATATACCCCCACTTATATTTGATAGCAAAAACATACCTTACACTTTTTCAAACTTACACTTATATACCCTCACTTATTTTGGTAGCACTTAATGTTGTGCCATAGAAGTAAGTGTTGATCACTATTCAATTGGCTGACACATGTCTAAGCAGACTGCACCCCAAGCCGACCCCGAAAGGCCGAGCAAGGTGTCCCTTCTCTCTAGACCGAGACAAACGTCTCTTCTTGCCAGGCCGAGACGGAAGTCCCTTCTCGCCTGGCCGACTCATCCCTTCTTGCCAGGCCGAGTCACCTCTTCCCTTTAGGTGGCGTCCCTTCTCTCAAGTCCGGGTGGAGAACTTTCGAAGCTGACTAAAAGAAGGTACTTGTCGGCCTACCCACCAGATCAATCCTATGAGCACCCTCATTTAGCCCGCTATATCAACCGACAACTTGCGTCGCCGATGAAAAAAGACGGTGTTTGTCGGCCTTTAGTCATACGACTAGAGAGATGGTGTATGCTCGAACCGCCTGCCGACAACTACCCTTGTATTAACTGCTCTAACAAAGTCATCATTGCTAGCCCTCATAGTTTTTATGACTCATCAGACCCAATCAGCACCAAACAGCTACTGTCGCTTTGCACTAACCACCTAGATGACCCATCTTCTTCAACAGCCGACACATGTCAGCTATCTGCCGAGTCAGCTGCCTTCATGGACTCGGCTCAAGTTACCTATCTACCCCTCTGATCCTCTATAAAAGGAATCCATGCAGCTCAAGGTAGCTCTTGGGTCTTTTCACACAACTTTGAAACCTTCTTCATCATCTCACATTTTCTCAATCAAGTTCATATACTGACTTGATCGTCGGAGGAACAACTGGAGAACCCAACTCCGGCCTTTTACGAGTTCTTCATGTAAAGGAAAGAACAACGATTTACATAGCCAATTATCTGTAGGAGTTTGAGGATCCCAAACTCTACTTTAATTCACAAATAAATCCCCTGTTTGATAACTGGCATCAAGGCATCAACACTTATATACCCTAAAGTTATTAAAACTTACACTAAAATATATAAAATTTTCGAATCTAGCATATAAATACCCTAAAGTTTTTAAAACTTACACAAATACCCTCAATTTTGTGTAGCTGGGGGGTACTTATGTGCAACATTTAAAATTTTTGGGCATTTAAGTGCTAGTTGTAAAAATTTTAGGGTGTTAAAGTGCTGCAAAAAAATGAGGGTATATGACTGCAAGTTTAAAAAATTTATGATATTTTTTTTGCTCCAAACTAGGATATTTAAGTTAAAAATAGTTGAAATAATCTATTTATACCCTTTAAAAGAGGAAGTTCATGAAAAACTTTACCTACCCTAAATTGCCCTTCAACAAATTTAAATATACCAAAGTTATCCCTCTGCATTCAATGACATGTTAAAAGGGAATTAGTTAATGTGAGCAGTAATAAATAATTTGATATAATAAATAATTTATGAAATTATTTAATAAATTATTAAATATTGATTATTTAATAAATTAATTTAATAAATTAATAAATTATAATAAATAATAAAACTCGCACGAGTTTGGCGTCGAGGGTTTCAATCCCACGAGTTTAGTGCTTTTGAGGAGATTTATTCGTATACTATCTCCCTTTCTCCTCTCTTTTAATTGTCGACTTGTGAGGTCAAAGTACAATTAAAATCGATTTTGTTTGACTTTACCGACACTCAGCTCGCAAAAGTGCACTCAGAGACGAAAGCTCTGAGCTTTCGGCACAACTGCGCTTCTCTTTGTGCTCTGATGCTTTATTATGCCCAAAATGGAAAATTTTCCAATGCCCAAGCTTTATGGGGTGAGATCATAAGTAGTTCATATAAGCCCAGCATTGAAATTGTTTCCGCCCTTATGGAAGCTTATGCAAAGTTTGGGGAATTTGATGAGATAGTTAGAATTGTGCAGGAATCCTTTATCCATATTAACACTTCTATAATGACACATATATCTGTGCTATACTAAATTATACAATTATTACTCTATAATAATATGCTGTACATGTAATATAATCTCTGTTTATGTCACTACTGCAAACCCATCTTCATTGTGCTTTGCATAAATCAAGAAAGCTCCATCAAATGAAAACACAAAAAAGATATGACCCAGTCTTACAAATTCAAAGAAATTAAGAGCAAAACAAAGTCCTAAAATAAGATAGGAAATTCAAATGAAGGTTAAATTAATTGAATCCAGTCTTTAACGGAGAAACCGCAAACAAAATCTACTTAAAACTGCTATAGTAGGATTGTTGCATGAGATTTAATTCTTGCATTTGAATTTAGTTTATTTTCTTGCACTACAATTAGTTTTTATGGCAATTGATATTTTTCTAATTTTTTCTTTTATGTTACAGGAATAAGTATTTGGAGGTTGTTGATTTTCCCATCTATCCAGGTAAATATTAATGTTTTTAAAAAATTGAAGTTGGTTTATTGGATTATATATTTATTGATTGAATTGAAATAGAAAACAGAAATTATTTTTTGGTATGCATTCTTTTATTTAGTTTAAATATATGTTAAATGCTAAACTTTCAATTCTAAAGAGATGTTCTTAGCATCCTCAAGGCATCGTCATTTACTACTTGGGTGTTGGATGGTTTATTCTTAGGCTTGAATTCAAAACAGATCTAATTATAAAGTCTGTCAATATAGTTTATAGTGCTTATTGTAGAAATGTAGAATTATATTGTATTGCTTTTCTTTAGGAACTTATGTACTTTATTTATATTTATATGTTTTTTCATGTTTTGTGATATAAACCTTTATATCATAGAAAACTAATTGATATAATTCGGAAGCGTATTTTTGATTCTAGCAGACAGAATTTCATTGGTCTAATTTTTGGCTACCCGATATATATTTATTGTATTTACTATCTAAATTAAATAAAGATGGAGATAATATCGAGCAAGTCCTTACATTTATTTTTGACCATAGAGGAGCCGTATGAAGCCGAGGTTACTCATCCTTCCTCCGATTTTCTTGCATTTTTGTTGGTTCCAACTTTGCAGAAACTGGCAATGTATCTTTTATTTTCGTTTTAACAAATACTTTGCGGATACTTTGCAGAAACTTTGCAAAAACTATAAACCTTCTAGAAAGTTTTAAATATTTATGTGTATTATTACAGTAGACTATTGATTAATTATGAAAATATCATGTGATGCACAATGATAATACAAAATGTAGGTATGCAGTTAAAATCATAGTTGAAGATGAGACGGATACTGCAAGAGTGATACTTTTTGATGCAGCAGAAACTCTTATAGGATGCAAGGCACAAAAATTCATGGCTGATATAAAAGAGGTAACTTCTTACTTTATTATATTTTAAACATATAAAACCATATGTTTCATGTATAATTAATTAATTGTTTCCTAATTAAAATAGAAAAATAATCAGAGTTCGTTATTCCAAAAGTTTGTGCTAAACATTGGAAAGACATACACATTCCTTGTGAAGTTAGATGAAAACTCTAAGGATGAACGGGCACAAGGAAAGATAATAGCACAAGAAATTCAACTCCAAGAAGACAACACAATCAACATTGAAGACGATGATACAATTCTTGAATTACCAAAAAAGAAGATAAAGGTCGAGAAGGAATGATCAACGAAAAAAAATTTAACATGAACAATTTTAAATTTTCAATACATTTACAAATATGTTGGAGGAATTTTATTTATCTTTTTGTATGCTTTTATGAGGAATAACTTATGAATGTTATTTGTTAGAACAATTTATGAATTACAACAATATGCACATATTGTTGTCTCATAAATATTGCATGCTTTGATTTTTTTGGCTGTTATTAGCTTAAACTTATCGCTCAATTATGTCAAGCTAATTACATATTTAACAAATACTTGACTTTATTACTTTTAAAATGCATTTGAAATATTTTTGGGTTATCTCGACACAATGTTATGTTGATGAGTCTTTGAAAAAAAGGATTCAAATCATGGACAAATTCTATAAGATGCGTTTCTCATTTAAGCATTAATAATTAATTTAGAAGTTAATGGTCTATTTGACTGTATTTTTGTCTCTGATAAAAACTTAGAGATGCAAAAACTGCATCAAATGATTGTAGAATCATCTACCTTCTGGTGACTTTTGCCTTATAATGTCGTTATTGTTTGCAACTTTATGTAAAATTTTTAATGTTATAATATCGTTCATAGTTATGTATTTTTCTTATATTCTATGCCAGCATATGGAATTTATTTGTTGGCAGACTGATTTGCTATATGGTGAGGTTTTTGCATATGTTTCTTGCTTACTTATATTTTAGTTTGTGATGGTTCCAATAATTTGATATATGTTCCCAAACAACAATTTTTCTACTTTGGGCATGGTTGGCATTATTCTTGTTTCTTGCTTTTCATTTGGGGAAGAGAACAACAGGAGCATTTTTCATGCTTAGCACATTGGACAAAATACTCTTACAAAAAACCAAAATGGTCTTGAACTCATGCAACATAAGTCTTTCAGTCCTATTAATATAACTATCAGTCTTCTTCCATGTATCCTGCTTGATCGGTTATTGTCCATAGTGTAGTCGTAAAAGCTATAATTATGTTTTCTGCCTTGTTTATGTGATTAAGTAAATTTATAAATTTTCTTGCTGTGGTAGGAGCAAAGCGCCTTATCAAAGTAAGCCTAGGAGATGATGATCAGTGCATTGAAGATGACTTCACTGCATGGTAACAACACGTTCATGTTGCTGCTAAACTTAAAGTAACCATTAAATAAATTGTGCTGCTTCCTGATTTGCAAAGAAATTCCTAGATGAATTTGCTTTTAGTATATTATTGTGTTTAAACGTTCCATATGCTGAAGTTTTGCAAGTAACAAGGTATATATTCTTACAGGAAAGAGCAATTATGACCAGAATTAGATCAGTTGCTTTGAGATCAAGATGATGCCTTAGGTGCATCTACCACTTACACAGCCAATGTTACTGAATTGAGGGTTGTGTTTGTTGACTCAGAAGCCACATCACATTTGGAAAAGAAATGGAGTCTTAAAAATGGTCATGCCATTCATGATATTCATCATCCATGCAGATACTAAAGGAATGTTTTATATTGAGACATGGATTTAAGTTCATCTAATAATGGAATAATACATGATATCCGATCTTCAGAGCTAATGTAGTTGTGAGGAAAGAGCTTCACACTCCAGCTTCTGATCGTTCTTGCATTCATCTGGAGTTTGACATTGCTCGAACTGGTCTTGCGTAGCATCTTCATTATTTTGAAATACCTACAAGACAATTAATATTTTAAATGTTGCAATGTTTTGACATATTACATTTTAACAATAATTTTCTTAAGCTGCAAAATTAGACTTCAATTAATTGAAGCTCTCTGTTTGTGTCATCATAGGAAACAACTTGGAGGAAAACTTGGAAGCTCTTTGCAAAGTAATCTCGGAGTGAATACTCTTGGTGATCTTCTTAATTTCTCTGAAGAAAAGTTATAAGAGCTTTATGGCATTATCACAGGGTTGGTGACTTGGTTTATTTACCATGATTGAAGGATATGTTTGTATGACATGTATGTTCAATTTTACCTACCAGATAAATGAGCAACTTGTGCAGCAAGTGTAATGCTTTTATTCTACTCTGATATTATCTTGCTTATTTACATAACATTTTGAATCCATTCACAAGTATTTTATTCACAGAAAATGTACAATGTCATAAACATCATTATTTAAGATACTGCAATATAAAATGATTTAGTACATGCACTCGTCAGTTTGCTTCCATTATTGGTTTTGAAATACATGTATTACCAGTAAAATTTAAGATAAATTTCAAAATTTTACCAGGTGCATTGCACGTGCAATCCAACTAGTAATTATATATTTAGCAGTGGTGACTGATCTATAGTGGAAGTAATAATTGCTTGTATTTATACGTTATGCATTGTGTATTTTTATGAGAGGGATTCAGATACTCGTTCGGAGTTCTTTGGAAAAGAAATGGAGTTGAAATAATAGGCCATAAAAGTGCTAGTTAGCCTTTTAAATATTGTGTAGGAGTTGGGCAAGGTGCCTTAACTTTGGTATTGTAAACACGACATTTACTATATTTTGCTATATATGAAGTAGTTTCATGGTCAAATTAGACGTGCTCACCTACACGCAGCCCCAGATCTAATTTAAATTATTTTCGAATAGGCACTTGTATTATGTTTACAGTTTGAAGAGAGTTAAGGCTTGTTTGGATTGAGGTGAATGAGGGTGAAGGGAAGTTAGGGGAACCATTCACCTCCATTCATCTTGTTTGGGAACACTTAGGAGGTGAAGTTAATTCACCTCCATTCACCTCCATTCACTCCCTAATAGTATAAAAATTGTTACCCCTCAAATTGGGGTGTAACCAAGGGGAAGGGAACTCCCTTCCCTTCCCTTCCCTTCACTTCACTCAGTTTCCCTTAACTTCCCTTCACCCCCTGCAAATCCAAACAGGCTTAGGGTTTGTTCTATAATCCTTGTTAAAGCTTAAGTTGACATTAGCTAGTATTTAGGGATACATGGTTTTATGTGGGTAGATCCTCTACACTAATAAAAAAGTGGTCGAGAGGTCATTAGCATTTCATAATTACTAATTTGTCCACTGGATAATTATGGTTTCATCTAAGGGGCTGTTTGGTTGTTTTCCGAAAAAAATCGGAAATGGAAAACTCACATTTCAACTCATTTCAAGATCTCTGCAAAATTAGACTGAATTTCCATGGTTAAAGACTTCACCTGATATGATAAATGTAAGTCTTATTGGGAAAAAACTGATATTTAAATTGAATATACCTGCATGATCCTATAGATCACTACTTCCTTGCAAAGTAGTATACAGTGGTTGGAGATTTACATTATTGAACATCGATCGCAAAGGATTAATTTAAACAACATGACATGTATTTTTCAACATTTTCAGCTATGAACCAAGCAATGGGCGGGGCACACATACCGCAACTAGACACCAATTGTTTCACATCAATAGATGTTCAATGCAGAAGTGTTGCTTGCGGAAGCATCACCGAAACTCCCAATTAAATCTCCTTCTTCTTCGTAGAGCAATCGATCACTTGATGATTTGGAAACACTGAGAAAACGTGTTCAAACAAGAGAGTAAGCAATTATCCACAGCAAGGAAATGCACAAGAACAATCGTCTACATTCATGGGAGAGATTTGAGTCTTCTTTTACTGGAGATTATACAACATTACAACCTTTCTTATGTTCTTGAAGAACCTAGAGACCAAACTTGTTCCTTAAAAGAAGAGAGAAAGCAATTATCTACAGAAATGGAGATTATACAACATTACTGGAGATTTGAGTCTTCAAACAAGAGAGAAAGCAATTATCCACAGCAAGGAAATGCACAAGAACAATCGTCTACATTCATGGGAGAGATTTGAGTCTTCTTTTACTGGAGATTATACAACATTACAACCTTTCTTATGTTCTTGAAGAACCTAGAGACCAAACTTGTTCCTTAAAACTAATTTTGAAAATGAACTAAGAGGATATTTGGCCGTTCGGAAGTGAAATGAAATTGTGAAAGTAGCTTCTTTTTTTTCTAATAATTTTCACATCCACGTCCGAATGCAAGTGAAATACAATGTTTATTTTAAAAATTAAATGGTGAAGTCACATGAAAGTGACAAAAATGGTCTTAATAAAATGTTTTTAACTACATTTACTAATTAATCCTATTTTACCACATCATCAAAAAAAAAAAAAAAGAAAGAAAGAAAAGAAAAGAGAGAGAAACTCTCACAAACCCTAGATTTCTCTCCTTATTCTCTATACCTCTCTTTTACAATATGCAACTCTCTTTGGCTTTCCTATGGCTTGAAAGCTTAATTTAAGACTAATGAGCTAAATCGATATGGACAGGTAGCTTTTTGGTTGAATTTTGAAATGTGTTAAAAGTAATGGTTGATTGATCTAGCATTTCCAAAATTTATGCACACATGATATGCAATACTTATCGTTGAAATATGAGAGAAAATGTAAGGTACTTGGGCTAAGGACAAGCACGGGTCATTAATATGCTTAACATAAGCATGGGAACACAGCAAAACAGAAAGAAGGCAAAAACACAGATAACAAATAAACAGATATAAAATAAAGTTCACAATTCAACTTTCCAAATATAAATAATTATTTTTTTAATTAACATTCATGTTTATTCCTGTATTTGACATAAAGAAGAGGGCATTACGGAAAAACAGATTAGCCAACACCACTTAGCAAATGAATAATTATCCAAATTTCTTTTCAAAGACTCGGCATATGCAAATCTACCCCAACTTTCTGTTCCAAACTTCTAGCCTATTTTAGATCTAGCAAAAGTTGATAGAATGTCTCCTGTTACAGTAAACAAAGCAAACACAAACTGATGCATAATTAAAAATGATAGTAACTATGTACAATGTTAAGAGAAAACTCTACAGAAACTGATCGAGTAGATGTCAAAAGTACTTCTATTTCATAGTTAAAAGTAATCGAAGAACAGCGAACAAACCAATCAGCACCTCAAACCTGAGGAGACCAGAATTTTAATCAAATCCTTAAGTTTGAAGAAGCACCACAACAATGGTCTTGTCTGCTTGGTCCCACGTTGTGAATCTTCTTTGAGACGATTGCTTACAGTTTCAGGTCAACTTGAATCTTAACACATTCTGTCAGGAACTCAGGTGGTCTCAAATTGTGAATCTTGCAACGGAACTGACAAAGTTATTTATCTTCTTACTCATGGTGGTCCCACGTTGTGAATCTTCTTTGAGGCGATCGCTTACAGTTTCAGTTCAATTTGAATGTTACATATTCTAGTCAGGAACTCAGATGCTCTCAAATTGTGAATCTTGCAACAAAACCGACAAAGTTATTTGTCTCCTTACTCATGGTGGTCCCACGTTGTGAATCTTCTTTGAGACAATCGCTTACAGTTTCAGTTCAACTTGAATCTTACATATTCTAGTCAGGAACTCAGGTGGTCTCAAATTGTGAATCTTGCATAATCTCGTGATAGGTAAATCCGTCCAGTAATATGCAGAATTTATGGCCTAAATATAGTAGATTTCTTATTTCCTTTTTCCCCTGCACATAAAAATGGTGCAGTTTCTTAACAAAGCAAGTGAAAATGACTTGGTATAATACATATCATTATGATCACAACAATTAGATTGACACACATAGCAATAGGAAAGAACCAATTAAGGCCAAGTGCTCTTTGATTTAGAAAATAAAAATAGCTGCTTCCTCCTGACAGTAGACCAGGAAATTGTTTGACAAATTTAAGTGACGGATTACAGTAAACTTACACTTTTGTTCTCCGAATTGATAACCCCAAACCTGCTTATTGCAGTAGACGGTTTCAACAATTTGAAATGATTAGGCTCAAGTCCTCGCTATGATTTCAATTAGTTTAGTCCACGTATTAGCAATTTGGGACTTTTTAGTCCAAATTTCATATATACAGGGAATTAAAAAAAAGATTAGGAAGTCCAGAGTAAACTAATAAAACTATGTTGCCATCACGCTCACTGGTTACAGGCCCAAATGCGAGAAATTCAGGGGATTTGGAGTCAGATCATGCTACCAACTCGTTGAGGCATTGATATGGTTCCATTTATGAAAACCTTGTCTAGCCATTTATATGAAAAATCAAAGGGCAGAGTTGCCACATTACATCTCATATCTGATAAGGGATTCCCTTTGACCACCTTTTTCTAGGTCCTTCCATTAACAACCTGTTGGTCAAGATAATCATGCACCGAAAGAGAGGGGGAGATTGTTGTCAACAATCTCAAGCCACAAAGGAGCCACCTTTGTTGACAATGAGAGAGAGAGGAGCCACTCGGTGAGAAGAATGACAGAAGTCATTAATGGAGGCTGGCTTTTCGGTGGTTTGTTAACAAGAGGGCCATCGTTGTTGACAAAGAGAGAAGAATGTGATTGTTTCTCTATATAAGCATCCGAGAGAGAGAGATTAGTAATCAATCCATCAGAGCTTGAGAGATCAGTTATTGAGAGTGATTAAGAGAGCAATTAGAGTTTGTTATTTGGGCAATTTTGTGAGAGAGATTGAGAGAACAAGAAAAATCAAGAGTGATTTGTTGTTTGTGAGATTATTGAGTGATTGTAATTTTCATTTGTACTCTCTCTCGGATACTTATATAGAGAAACAATCACATTCTTTTCTCTCTTTGTCAACAACGATGACCCTCTTGTCAACAAACCACTGAAAGCCAGTCTCCATTGATGACTTCTGTCATTCTTCTCACCGAGTGGCTCCCCTCTCTCTCTTTGTCAACAAAGGTGGCTCCTTTGTGGCTTGAGATTGTTGACAACAATCTCCCCCTCTCTTTCGGTGCATGATTATCTTGACCAACACAACCATGCATCATAATCTTCAGCAAGTCTTCCCTGGTACATGAATCCTTACAAGACCTTTCTCAAACAACTAAAACTACTTAAGGCTACAGAGAGTCCACCTTGTTCTCAGCTTAGAATTTCTCCCTCGCTATCAATCTATCTACATTCCATCTATTCATTCTTCCTTTGATGGATCCTATTAGCTCGAATTGGACAGAAGCTGAAAACAAGATATTCAAAGAGGTCCTGGTTGAGGTTGATCTCAATTCTTCCGAATTGGTTTGAACACCTAACCAAAATGTTTGCAAACAAGACCCCTGGGCAATTGATTGTCCACTACATCGACCTGGTAGTGGATATTGGAAGAAAGTTGAAAAACTTGTGTAACCTCATTTACATGTAACCCTTTGCAGTAAAGATAGCTGCAGAAATGAAAGATCGGTCGTTAACAGACCTACCTCATTCCCGGGATTTTCTGCGAACAATGTCACCATGTTCCTGTGGACAAGTGGTGAATAAGGAGGCGCTTGCTCCAGAGATTGAAGAAGAATTGGAAATATTGCTGGAAATAATATCAAAAGAGGAGATGATTTTGCCACTGGAGACTGAGGGGATGGAAATGGTAGAAATCTTGTCACCAGAAACTGAGGGTTAAAAAATGATGATCAGATGATGTCAGAAGTGGCAGCAGAGATCAGAGTGGGAAGGAAGAAAAAAAAAAATCCTGACAGCAATTAGTGCTGTGGCAGCAGGGAAAAAGACGGCTGAGAAGGTAGGAACATCTGTGACAAGGAAGGAAAAGTTATGGAGCGAAGAGAAGCACAGGTTCCATGACTTTTATCATATAAGATCTTTCTAAATTTCTTACAAACCTTTGACTAGACATGTTACGTAACTGCAAGAACAGTTCTAATCAACATCATGTGGTTACTGTTAAGCGTAAGTACCGTAATAGGAATAATTGCTCCCCATGGTTAATTACAGCAAGGTCCAAGATCAGGTCTGCTTTTACCTCCAATCGACGACGAAACCCGAAAGACGCCCTGAGAGATTCAATTCTACAGGCAAAAGGAGGAGGTCGGGGCGGGGGGGGGGGGGATTCAGGGCTTGTTTAACCATCAGCGAGTAGAGGAATGGGGAGATTGATTCTGGATTTTCTCCCTTTTCTTTTTTTATTTTTGTTTGGTCGGTGAGAATCCTGGTTAAACCCTGGTCGTTTGTGAGTTAAATGGCAACTCACGTGCAAATCACGTGTTTTAAGTGAGGGAAAATAGGCAAACTGTGTAAATTTGAACGGGAAAACAGAAAAAAATGGCTGATTTTTGGACTATTTTAAAGGTAGTTTCTAAGGAAAAAAACATATATAAAAAAGAATTGCATGTCAATCTTGTACTTGCACCGAACATAACGTAACCCCCACAGATTATGGTTTGTGAAATAAGAAATTTTAATTTAACGTGAAAAGTAACACACATTTGGTGGACACGATAGCAATCAATGATGTACACATTTGCGTTTTTTTAATGCGGAAGATAAGGGAGATTCCTAAGCAAAATGCAATATGTTTATCAAGAAATGAAAATAAATTGCAGAAAATTTAACAGAATTAAGGTCGAGACAATAGATAAAATTAAAACCAACAGTATATGAACACAAATTGCACAACATTTAACACGGAGGGACACTTACAATACTGACCAAGACTTTGACATTCGCAACTGCTCCAACTCTGTCATTCAATGTTTTCTACCTGCAAAGATATTAACTGAATGAAATAATCTATTGTAAAGCATTGATTGGCAAGCTACTTAGAAGCAAGAAATGTAATCTAGGAATATAATTGCATAAGCAATAAATGTGTGTAAAAACCTGAACTTGACAGCTACAAAAAACATCCAAAAGAACTAATTGATGTTCATGAGAAAAGAGTACTAAACCGAGACTCTTTTGCTGAATAAGAGCAATGAGATGATCTTTTGGGGGGTTACATAGAAAAGATATTGGTTGTTTTTGTCTTCATTTTTTTAGAAGGGTTTTTTTTTTTTTTTGTGGGGGGGGGGGGGGGG